AACATATGGATGATAATGGAATAGTTTAGGTTAGATGGGCTTCAGATGGGCGCAACATCGAGGCCAGTACTGCGCTGTAATGTTCTATGTTCTATGTTCTATAAAGCAGTGTGTACTACAAGGACTGTCATGGTTTTAAAGGCAGACACCACTGTCTTATCAACGGCAATTCAGAATTGGCAATAAATGCTCGTGTGGCCAGCGATACCCATTTCCCATCAATTAATTTTTAAAAATAAGTCCAACTTTTGAAACTATGAGGCATGTAACTGGGAAGTAACTTTCTGAACGTTTAACTCATTTTAGAAAGGTTGCCTTTACTACAGTTTCACTTCCTTTTCTCACTTCACTTTCATTCATTTGTCAAAGCAAAAGGGGTTGCACAACATACTAGTCTCTGTTCACACCTGCTGCTGCCTCCAGTGTTGAGATTTGCCAAGGGCAGCTGTGTGCAGTTTGCAACCTTCCCCATTTTTTATAGCATTGATGCCAACGGACAATAGGGTGAATAGAATAAAGCATTTCAGTTTGCCTTCATGTCCTTATGGTGATCGGAGTTCATCAGCAATATCAATGAGCAATCAGTACTCACCAGTAAATCAACTCCCAACTGCCCTCTTTCACACAGCTGTAATTTGGAAGGGAAAGACTTTGCACGGTGCCCCAGAGTGTGTCATGTTACAATGAAGCCCTCTTTATCCCATTTGTGAAATCCTGAGGCTGATGCTTCATCTGATCTCCCGTATCCCTTTTCAGCCCTGTCTAGCTAGAACTCACCACAAAATTCGAGATATCCAAGAACGGGTTACAGGTTTCCTGCAGCATTAGATCCATTCTTGTGCCTTTGTTCAGAGCTGCCTTGAATTGACGTACAACGTTCTCACACATGTCACAGGGCATTAGAGGCAGCGCTGTATTGCAGGGAAATGGGAGAGAGAGTCCAATTAAACAGTGTGACGAGATCAACAACAACAATAAATTGATTCTTTTCGTGTTTTAGCCTGAACCTGAGATGGGGCAACATGCTTATAATCTAAATTGTGCCAACTAAACTTCTCTTGCAGTGCATTGGTAAAATAGGTGCAATCAGTGCAAGAGAAAGTTATGAAGTGTCACATGGCACAGAAACAGACCCTTTGGCCCACCTCGTCCATGCCGACCAGATATCCTAAATTAATCTAGTCCCATTTGCCAGCATTTGGCCCATATCCCTCTAAACTTTTCCTGTTCATTCACCCATCCAGCTGCCTTTTAAATGTTGTAATTGTACCAGCCTCCACCACTTCCTCTGGCAGCTCATTCCATAAACACACCACCCTCTGTATGAAAGGTCCCCCTTAGCGCCCCTTTAAATCTTTCCCCCTCTCACCTTAAACCTTTGCCCCTCTAGTTTTGGATTCCCCTAACCTGGGGAAAAAGACCTTGGCTATTCACCGTATCCATGCCCCTCATGGTTTTTTAAACCTCTAAAGGTCACCCCTCAGCCTCAGATACTCCAGGGAAAATAGTCCCAGCCTATTCAGCCTCTCTCTGTAGCTCAAACCCTCCAATCCTAGCAACATCCTTGTAAATCTTTTCTGCACCCTTTCGAATTTCCTTCAGCAGGGAGACCAGAACTGAACGCAGTACTCCAAAAGTGGCCTAACCAATGACCCGTACAGCTGCAACATGACCCTCCCAATTCCTATGCTCCGTGCACTGACCAATAAAGGCAAGCGTACCAAACACCTTTTTCACCGCCCTGTCTACCTGCAACTTCACTTTCAGGGAACCATGCACATGCACCCCTAGATCTCTTTGTTTGGCAACGCTCCCCAGGGCCGTACCGTGTTGGAAAGCCTCCAATGGCTCCTTTGACCATTCCTAAACCTGTCGCCAACAACTAGTTTGAAAGCTTTTGTGCCCCATGTCCATTCAATGGAAAAAAAAAGTGCAATAAGAGACAGCTCCAATTGAGGCCGTCAGAGGTAGAACTGGATGGTTCTGCGGAGAACAGACCATAACAGGTAGGCCATTCAGCCCCTCGACCCTGCTACTCCATTCAATAGGATTGTGGCCGATCCCACATTCCTCACGTCCACTTTCCTGCCCCTTCTTCCCCTTGACTCCCCGACTGATAGATTCTCAATCTGATCTCAGCCTTAAATATACACAATGACTCTTCCTCCCCCACAGCTGTCTGTGGCAAGGAGTTCCAGAGATTCACAACCCTCTGAGAGAAGAAATTGCTCCTCATCTCTTCGATTGGCATCCTGAGACTGTGCCCTCTGGTTCCAGACTCTCCCATGAGGGGAAAACTGCATTGACCCTGCCAATATGTTTCAATGAGATCGCCTCTCATTCTCCCAAATTCTAGTGAGTTCGTACTTGAACCAGCCTGTGATGTACTTTCACAAAAAAGGACAGTGCTTCCGACCATCCAGGTTTTAAAATAAATATCTTAAAAGCAATGAGACAAGGTGGATTGAGATATCTCTGGAAATTGACTCATGAAGATGTCTGTACTGCTGACTTGGAACAACCCCGTACTGCAACGTGATGAAGATTTGACCTCGCTAAAGCACCGATGAAGTCTCTGCTCAGGTCTAAATGCAAGCACGAAAGGGGTGACATCTGTTACTCAGCTCCTGCTTTTTTAAGTGTTGTGTTGGGTAGACTTCAACTGCTGACGATACTTAAACACTGACACATGAGGACCACAGTGTATAATGTTGCAGAGTAGGGGCAGGTCAGAACGAAGAGCAAAAACATTTTTTCAGCTATAATCCGGCAACACATGGCTCAGGAATTGAAAACCTAATGTTTGACGTGTACATAACTGCAGGCTTTGTATTTAGGGGGGAAAAAAAAAGTTGAGTTTTAAAGGGATTCCAACTGGGATACGTACCCAGCTCCTTTGAATCTACGGTGGAACAAATGCGAAGAATGTCACACACAGCCCTGGGCTGAACTTCTTTGGACAGCAGATCCATGGCAGTCTCCCCAAACCTTTCCATAAAACCATGACATTTCGTCAAGTATTTGCCTGTCATTCGAGAGCAGACCTTTCTGGGCAATTTGGCGACGGCAGCCTGTATGTTGGCAGAGACAAGTTTCAGAAGAAGCAAAAAAAAAGCCCCCAAACATTCAAAACAACGTAGACTATTCAGGGCAACAGGGCTTTTGTGTATCGGTTCCTGTTCTGCACATCTGAAAGGAAAAACAGAGAGAAACCCACCAACGTTCTGAAGCCTGTGTGTTTTTCTTCAAATATCAAATGGGTTTGCCAAGCGTTTGAGTAGCTAAACGTTTCAAGTACCAATCCCATTGCACGTGGAGTGAATTCATCTCAGCTAGGAATCTTAATGTCTTGCCCACAACAGATTTGGTAGGTGGAGTCAGCATTGGACAAGCACAGAACCCAATGTCCTGAGAAACAGGCAAAGTCTTTTCAAGGCCAGGTTCAGATGGAACAACGGGTATCATGGGAAGGTAAGGATTTAGGATCCAGCTCTCAGTGCCCGTGTGACTGAAATACTGAGGGCAGGCTAAGCTGCAACCGCATCGCCGTGGGTCTGGAGTCACGTGGAGGTCAGAGCCAAATAAAGACGGTAGATTTCCCTCCCCTAAAATAAAAATCACTAACGAACCCCGGTGGGATTTCACGGACGTCGGTAGGGATACCAGGTTGGCTCAGTTGGGCTGGTTTGCGATGCAGAGAGACGGCAACAGCGTTGGGTTCGATTCAGCGGCTGACCATGAAGGGACGCTCCTTCCCAACCTTTCCTCTCGCCTGAGGCGTGGTGACCCTCAGCTTAATTCACCACCATCGTCTCACTCTCTCTGAGAGAGACTGTGGCAACTTCACCTTTACTTCCCAGTGGCGTTGGCAGTCAAAGTTTATGCCGTAAACACATTGTGGAGCTCTCTGCTTCACATTGCATTGTTTTAACAGGGGACATGGTCTAGATTTTGTCGGCCTCAATCCTGTAATAAAAACTAATGGGAAGATGGGCTATTTTAGCTTAAAATGGCTTTCCCGAATGGCCGCGTCTGCCCCCACCCCAGCCATTTCCTCTCCACCCCCGGCTCCCCCCACCCCAAGATGTTTTTCTCACTCCCCTCAGACATCTCGCCCTCACCAACTACGTAGGCAGCTGGTTCACATGTCCCACAGGAGCAGAAATAAGCGTCCCGTCTCCTGCTAGTATACCCTTCCTTAGATTAAAGGCCAAAAGACCATAAGATATAGGAAGACAAGCAGGCCATTCGGCCCCGTGAGTCTGCTACCCCATTCGATAGGATTGTGGCCAATCTCACATTCCTCACATCTGCTTTCCTGCCCCCTTTGTTCTCGTGACTACAACTGATCAAGAATCTATTGATCTCAGCCTTAAATATACACAAGGACGCTGCCTCTGCCCCACAGCTCTGTGGTGAGGATCCCAAAGACTCCCAACCCCTCCAGGAGAAGAAATTCCTCCCCATCTCAGCCTTCAGTTGGTGCCCCCTTTACTCTGAGGCTGTGCCCTCTGGTCTTAGACTCTCCCATGAGGGGGAACACCCTCTCAGCATTGACCCTGTCAATATGTTTCAATGGGATCGCCTCTCATCCTCCTAAACTCCAGAGAGTTAGAGTCCCGACCTGTTTAGCCTTTTCCCATCAGACAATCCCTCCATCCCTGGGGATCATCCCAGTGAACCTTCTCCAAGCTGCCTCCAATGAAATGATGTCATTTCTAAATTAAGGTCACAGGAATTTCCAAAGCCCTGGGCTCTAGGAAACTAAATGCAGGAAGGCAAGTTGTTTCATTTATGGAGACTGTGGATAGGATCCAAGGCTCCCTCAGACTTTTTTCTCTGCAGCCGAAGCAATGGGTTTGCATGGTGACTGGTGCACACAGACCCTGGGAGTGGCTGAGAGAGGGAAAACGTTGATCGGGACCAGAGACATAGAAAGGCAACAAGAGTTGGGGGGAAAATTTGTGAATTGTTGCTGGAGCCTGCCACTCAAAGCTGGAAATTTGCTACCACAGGTTGAGTGTCTATGTTTTGGAGTTCCTTCACAGTTGAGTTGGAAACTGCATTTTTGTTTTAACGTTTTCAGGGCTGGCGTGGAAATTTGTGGCCCTGCTTGTGACAACTGCAGTAACTCGCAGAGGGACAGCGAGTGCTAATCTCAAATTGGTGGCTGTCCAGGTCACATTGACCCGGAATTTTTATACTAAGGAGCAACTTGAGACCTCGATGCCACATTTGCCCGAGCTAATCTTTACCTTTCCCCATGCCACAAGAAGCTTTTATTGCCCACCTCATGTCTCTTGACAGCATGCGTTCATATATTGTTTTGTCAGTTCCTGAGCCTGTTTCTAAATTGCTCCCAATCCTCAGGCTCACCAATTACCTTATAAGCCTCTTCTTTTGGTCTAATGTGGTAGTTAACTTCTGTAAGCCCACAGTTGAATTGCCTCTCTCATTAGGAGTTTGTGCCTGAGGGGAATGTATCTGTTGTCGACCATGTGACTCTTTAAATGCCTATCGACTGTCACTTGTATTTTCCCATTCCGTCAAAACCAACTTCCCATGCATGACTTTAGTCACAGGACCCTAGTTTCAGAGTTGACTGTATCACGTTCAAACTTCAAATGTGAACTCAATCATGTTATGGTCACTATTTCCCAAAGCCTCCTTTCTTGCCAGGCAAGTAAGACTGACTCCCTCCAAAGCCTGTCCTTCATCCACAAAAGTCAGGAGTGTGATGGAATACCCCCCACTTGCCCTGGATGGGGGCAGCTCCAACAACACTCGAGAAGCTCAATACCATCCAGGGACAAAGCAGCCCCCCGCTCGATTGGCCCCACATCCACAAACATCCCACTCCCCCCACCACCGACGCTCAGTCACAGCAGTGTGTACCATCTACAAGATGCACTGCAGCAACTCACCGAGGCCCCTCACACAGCACCTTCCAAACCCACGACCCACTTCCATCCAGAAGGACAAGGACAGCAGGTTATTTGGGAACACCACCCCCTGCAAGTTCACCCCCCGAGCCCCTCACCATCCCCGACTTGGAAATATATCGGCCGTTCCTTCAGTGTCACTGGGTCAGAATCCTGGAACTCCCTCCCTGAGGGCACTGTGTGGGAGTCCCTACACCACAGACTGCAGCGGCTCAAGGAAGAGATTTGAGTAATTAGAGACGGGCAAAAAGTGTTGACCCAGCCAGTGACACCCACCTCTTGTATAAATGAAGAAAAGAGACAGGAGAAGGGAATGTGGGTGGGGATGAACAGATGAAAATTAAGACCAGACCCATAGATGGCGACACGAACTAACTACCCCCTTTTGGAATCAGGATTGGTAGTTTCGCAGAATCAGTGTGTCAGATTTTTTTTTCATCTTACCTGGAGATTATAACTCACCTCCGTTTTCCCCTCAGGCAATAATCGTTGCAATTTCTTCATCAGAAGGTGACAGGATTCACACGTATATCTATGTTTGGGAAGTGGCTCCTGCTTCAACAGGGAGAGATAATGGGAGCTGTGACAGTTGACGTAACTATTCCAACTGAGCACTGTCATGAGCTGAAGACTGCTAGCTATGAAACGCTAACTTGGTTATATCTACAGCTGAGAGAAATCGCTTGTACACCAGCTCCTTTCCATGTTAGGTCATGTGAGTGCCTGTCATTCCCTTCCAACCTATCACAGTTAGTGAAGAACGTTATCTAAGATTACAATTATATCTTGATCAGCTGGGCCAGTGAACAGAGTGGCAGATGGAGTTTAATGCAGATGGAAGCGAGGTGTTGCATTTGTGGGAAGACAAACCAGGGCAGGGCCTACACAGTTAATGGCAGGGCCCCTGGGGAGTGTTGCTGAACACAGAGACCTGGGGGTGCTGGCACATACTTCCTCGAAAGTGGAGTCGCAGGTAGACACAGTAGTGAAGGCAATGTTTGGTATGCTTGCTTTCATTAGTCAGAGCATTGACTGTAGCAGTTGGGAGGCTATTTTGCAGCTGTACAGGATATTGGTTAGGCCACTTTTGGAATACTGCGTTCAATTCTATCTCCCTCCTATAGGAAAGATGTTATTAAAATGGAAAGGGTGGAAAAAAACATTTACAAAGATGTTGCCAGGGTTGGAGGGTTTGAGCTATAGGGAGAGGTTGAATAGGCTGGGGCTATTTTCCCTGGAGCATCGGAGGCTGAGGGGTGACCTTATAGAGGTTTATAAAATCATAACAGGCATGGATAGGGTGAATAGACAAGGTCTTTTCCGCAGGGTAGGGGAGTCCAAAACTAGAGGGGCATAGGTTTAAGGTGAGAGGGGAAAGATTTTAAAAAGGGACCTGAGGGGCAACTTTTTCACACAGAGGGTGGTGCGTGTATGGAATGAGCTGCCAGAGGAAGTGGTGGAGGCTGGTACAATGACAACATTTAAAAGGCATCTGGATGGGTACGTGAATAGGAAGGGTTTGGAGGGATATGGGACAAATGCTGGAAAATGGGACCAGGTTAATTTAGGATACCTGGGTCAGCACGGACGAGTTGGACCGAAGGGTCTGTTTCCGCACTGTGAAGTGGAGGGACCAGTGTTGGACTGGGGTGGACAAAGTCAGAAGTTGCATGACGCCAGGTTACAGTCCAACAAGTTTATTTAAAATCACAAGCTTTCCGAGCCTCGCTCCTGCATCAAGAAGAGAGCGTCCGTACTGTACATCCCTAGCTAGATGCCTGAAATGGATTTGAATGCTGCACTGGACAGCTTTACAGTGACTAATTAGATTAGATAAAATAAAAGCAGTCCCACCCTCTGTTACTCAACCTCAACCAAATCTGGAATCCACAGCCTCTGCGATTAATCCTACCTTGATTCGTCTCCAGACTTGATTTGAAATCGGTGAGAAGTTGTCTACACCCAGCTTGGCCTTGGCGGTGCCATCATAGAGGGATTCCTCCTGCAGAGACTTGCACAAGCCAAGGGCAGCACACAATGCATCTGGTTCCTATTAGAAGCCAGGGCAAAGAAAGGCATGAGGGATTAAAACGTGGGAAGTTACTTTGCACTAAACAGTTCCTCTCATCTCCCTTTAGACATCCCTTGCCTCCTGCAATAGACTGGGTCCTGGTTTGGTTTGGTGTGGTTGAGGTGGGGGTGGGTTGGGGTGTTAATATTTGTCAATACTTTCTTGCACTAGTTGGCCTGTAGCTTTCCAAACTAGTTTTGGTTTTGTCCCGTATGTAACTGCCCTTGAAATGGGCGAAATTGGCCACTCTCAAAGCACTGTCCTTTCCATCACCTCGTCGCTCCCATGCAGCTAATATCCCCTTCTCTCCCCTGCACCCCCCCCCCCCCCCCCCCCCCAGTGCCTGCATTGAGACCCTGCCTGTTACATCCACACACACGCACTTACCACCTCTTTCTCAAGAAGGTCAATGATGATCTGTAGGTAGGTATCGACAAGGTCATTGCACTTATCAGCAAATTGTTTGATGGGTATCAGATTGCAGCCTTGGTGCAGAACCTTTTGCACGGCATCCTGTTTCAAAGAGCAAACAAAATCATTTCAAACATTGCAACCACCTTGCAAAATGTAGTATTAAACAGACCGAACAAAAGTACAACATTCAAACTGTATCGTTTAGGGTGCTCCCTTCTCCCTCACGTCTGTCTTAGGCTCCTCTTAAAAGCGCGACTAACTTCCATATTGGCCAGCAAACGTTGCTCGCAGCATGCTTGGGTCTTCAATCAGACACATCTGTCACACCCCACCCAGTGTAAGAGCTTGAACTGTCCATCTGCTTTGGCCCGTAGCAAGACCAATGGTTGCATTTGTTCTTGGCATTGTGAGCGGCAGTATCAAGCTCAGATAGAGTCAAACAGCATGGGAGATGATGGCCTAGTGGTATTATCGCTGGACTGTTAATCCAGAGACCCAGATAAAGTTCTGGGGACCCAGGTTTGAATCCTGCCACAGGAGATGGTGGAATTTGATTTCAATAAATATCTGGAAATAAGAGTCTAGTGATAACCAGGAATCCATTGCTGATTGTTGGAAAAACCTATTTGGTTCCCTAATGTCTTTTAGGGAAGGAAACTGCCATCCTTACCTGGTCTGGGCCTGCTTGTGACTCCAGACCCACAGCAATGTGGTTGCCTGTTAACTGCCCTCTGGACAATTAGGGATGGGCAATAAATGCTGCCTGGCCAGCGATACCTTCATTTTGTCAATGATTAAAGGGGAATAAAAAGCATGGAAACAGGCCCTTCGGCCTAACCAATCCGTGCCGACCATAATCCCAAACTAAACTAGTCCCACCTACCTGTGCTTGGCCCATATCCCTCCAAACCTTTCCTATTCATGTACTTATCCAAATGTCTTTTAAACATTGTAACTGTACCCCGCATCTCCCACTTCCTCTGGAAGTTCATTCCACACGCAACACCCCCCCCCCCGTGAAACAAACCCCCCCACCCCGGACCTTTTTAAATCTTTCTCCTCTCCTCACCTTAAAAATGTGCCCCTTAGTCTTGAAATACCCCACCCTAGGTATCCTGCCATTCACCTTATCCATGCCCCTCATGATTTTACAAACCTCTATAAGGTCACCCCCCAACCTCCTACGCTCCAGGAAAAACGTCCCAGCCTCCCTCCATAACTCAAACCCCCCATTCCCGCCAACATCCTGGTATATCTCTTCTGAGCCCTCTCCAGCTTAATTATATCCTTCCTGTAACTGGGTGACCAGAACTGGACACAGTGCTCCAGAAGAGGCCTCACCAACGTCCCTGTACAAAGTCAACATGACGTCCCAAATCCTGTACTCAAAGGAGTGAGCAATGAATGATGTACTGATGATTACATATTAATGATGAATTGGCCGTCCCAAATTGTGTGCTCCCCTCTCCTTTCTTTGAAAGCCAGACACTGGGACAATATTGAGGGAGCTCTTTGAATGGCAGTTCATCTACTGTGGTAGCTTTTCAATGATCTTCTTCCTCCAGTGGGAGATGCTGGTTATTTTACATTAATATATGCCCCATGGTCTTCCCTCATGGATCGCCTTTATTCTGAGCAGTACCTGCACAGTTTTGTCCTTCACCATGTCAGCCACAACCCCCATGAACCTCTTACACAAGTCGCAGATGTCGTCATTCTGAAAAAGAAAAAAAGAGAAGAAATTTGTTGGAATTCTTGTTTGCGATTAATGTTCCTCCCAGTCTTCTTGGCGACACTGGCCTGTACAAATGTGACAAAACACTGGGATAATTTGGCTCCTTTTCAAACAAAGACATTTGGATTTGAAGGAAAATAAATAGGTATTTATTTTCAGGAGGGAAATTCATTGCATATTCATTTTCAGGAAGGATGTGGAGGCTTTGGAGAAGGTGCAGAAGAGGTTTTCCAGGATGCTGCCTGCATTAGAGGGTAGGAACTATAACTCGGGTTATTTTCTCTGGTGTAGCAGAGGCTGAGGGGAAACTTGAAAGAAGTCTGTAAAATGATGAGATGTGTAGATAGGGTTGACGGTCAGAATCTTTTTCCTCAGAGTTGAAATGTCTAAAACCAGGGGGCATGCATTTAAGGTGAGAGGGGAAGAGTTCAAAGGAGATGTGAGGGGCATGTTTTTTCATGCAGAAAGTGGTAGGAGTTTGGAATGTGCTGCCAGGGGTGATGCTGAAGACAGATAAAACAGGGGCATTTAAGGGGCTTTAGATAAACACAAGGATATGCAAGGAATGGAGGGCAGGCAGAAGGGATTCGTGTAATTTGGCGTCATGTCTGGCACAACATTGTGGGCTGCAGGGCCTGTTCCTGTGCTGTAGTGTACAATGTTCTGTGTTCCAGGTACCTGCAAGGTAAAGGATCCTTTCTCCAATGAGTGTTGTTGTTCCCACGAGTGGAGAGGTCAGACAGTGGAAAGATTTTAAGTGTTTATTCTAGGGAACAGTTGTGGTCTGGGCTGGAGGGAAGAGTAAGCAGGGCCAATCTTTGCTCTCGAGAGGTTGCAAACGGATCTGTTTTACACCTCTTCTCCTGAAATGGTGGATGAATTTCTAAGATGGCCGTTTTCTTTTCCTCCTCTGTTTCTGTAGTTTCTTATTGCTTTTTTAAAAAAAATACTTTCCTGTGGTCGTGGGGGCAATGGCAGTGATGGAGTGTGGCAACGACTGGGACCCCAGTGCGAGCCCGCCTGTGGGTGGCAGGTACAGATGGGACTTAGCCCAGCGCGGGTGAAAGAGTGCCCAGCGCGTGGGGAGAGATTGAGCCCTCATCGGGAGAGCCCAGCATCGAGCGACTGCAGGCTGGACTGTAAATGTTTAACTTTATTTCTCGATTCCATACGGAGGAGAATCGTATTAATGATTTTTGTTTTAAACTTGTTTTTTTACTCAGAAAAACTGTCATGATGAGCTTTTCAAACCTCTTTACTTTTCCGAGCATCTCGTATCCAGGCACCTTTGTACCTAAGATGGTGCGTTATGTGGCAATATTGTCCGCTTTTCACCATACTCCTGCATTGGAGTGTGAACGACAATAACTCCTAAATCTACGTCTAAATCCAAATGGAAACACCCAAAGCCCAAAACGTGTGTGTGGGGGCGGAGAGGGAAGAGGGAGGAAGTCAGTGTATGTATGTGTTGGGGGGAGGGGTAGGAAGGGAGTTGAGGGAGTTCAGTTCTGCTTTCTTGCTTCTAGATACTCAGGGCCTGAACTAAACAAGAAGAGGGAACTGAGAGTACTGTTAGCTTATTTTACGGATCTAGGAGTGCACTCATTGCAGCCTTTTGCCATCTCTCTTTGAAGAAGGCCACAGAATACTGTTTGCGAGAGCAGCATTAAAACATAAGAAAGAGGACCATAAGAAATCAAAATACAATCTAGATGAGCTGATCACCTCAGACGTGAAGGAGTGTTGAACAGGAGAGGACGTACAGTCGTTAGATCTGAGCATCAGTGGAAATGACATTATTACTGAGAGAGAGAGAGAGAGAGACCAACTTACAGCTTTAACACGGCCAATCCACCCTAACCTGCACATCCCTGGGCACTATGGGTAATTT